ATTAAGATTTGTATGATTGAAGATTACCGCCTCTCCTATAAGTGTCAATGATCGATTTTATTTTTAATAATATTTATTTTAATTAATAGGGAAAAAAAGTTCTGCAAAGCGTCAAAAAGTTACCAATTCAGAATCTAGAGAATCTTCTTCTGATTTTACTTCTGAAGAACCAGAATGGCTTAAAAACTCTCAAAGCGTTACAGGCACTTCAGTTTCAATCCCAATCGATCCCTTAAATTCTGAAGTAACACCGCAACCAGAGTCTACTCAAAGTCAAGGTACCACTGAGCGCGTTTTCGTCACTCCATTTTATGTTGATTTGGATGCGTATCGTGAAGAACTCCGTGAAGAAAATGAAAATGATGTAGATGATGATGAAAATGAAAATGAGTCTTATACTTTATATGGAAATGCTAGAACTAGAATTGTGGGCGTTCAATATTATAATGGAATCGTTAACAAGGGAGAGGCGGTAATCTTCAATCATACAAATCTTAATAGACAATATTAAAAATGCTATACATCATATAATCTAATGATTGTGCTGATTTTAAAGGTATCGATGATACGCGAACCAAACAATCCTTATGATAAAAATGCAATTAGAGTAGATAATGTTATGGGTATTCAAGTAAGTATAATTCGATTATCGATTTACCATTAATGAAAACAATACCAATTCCTTACCTTTATTTTTAGGTTGGACATATTCCTAAAGACGTTGCTGCTGTTATAGCTTCTTTGATCGATAATGGTTTGTTATTAAAACATAGTTTGATAATTGATTGCAGTCCTTATTCGTTTTATAATCTAATCTATTCTTATATATTAGGGGAAATTAAACTCGAGGGTATAATCCGATCTTATCTAATACTTGATTTTTGTTTTGAGTATGAAACTTATAAAATTTGTATAGCCACCATAATCGGGAACCGTGGTACTTATAGTATCCCACTCCAACTACACGTGTACGGGTCACCTAATTCTCAAGAATCGATTTCTAGCTCATTAAAAAAACGCGGAATTGCGGTCGAGTCTCCAAAACAACCAAGACAAACTAAGAAAAGTAGAGCCGAGGCTGCTGCTCGAGGTATTTATTTTTTTATTTTATTTTTTTTCGATTAAATATTATGTTTGACATATAATTGTTTTCGTTAATAGCTACGTTTGACGAAGCATGGCGTGATTTGGTTGGTAGAGGTCAAGAAATCAGTATGAAAAAGAAACAGGAGGCGTTTGAAAAAATTGGAATATCTATCGAGGATTTGGAGAAACTTCCAGAGGCACCGCAACCGGATGCACTTCTCACTAATCTTCTACCTTATCAGAAGCAAGGTCTCGGTTGGATGCTTTCTCACGAGCATCCTGAAGATCCGACAGAAGAAACGGCAACGCAATTTTGGGTTATGCGCAAAGTATCAGGATCTAACCTTTACTATAATGTTGCGACTAGTTATTCATCTCAAACTCGACCAGAATTTTCTCGTGGTGGTATTCTTGCAGGTAAATATTAGTTTAAATTGATTCCTGACATCCTACTTTTAATTCAGTATTAATATATTGAATTTTGCGGTTTTGCTATTTTTAGATGACATGGGTAAGTTTGCGTCGATTAATTACATTTTATTCGGAAATAAAATTAACATGCTCCTAAATTTGTTAAGGTCTTGGTAAAACGTTACAAACAATTTCATTGATTGTATCGGATACCAACGGAGAAGGATTTATTACTACACCTTCACCCACTAGCTCAGATTACTCTAAAACTACTTTAATTGTCGGTATGTTAAATGGCAAGATGGCCCTATATTTCCATAAATTCCATAAATTATAAGATCTATATTTTTTACAAAGTAAATCAATATCTTCTATTTTTATGAAATATTGATATGCTTAGTACAACAGATTTTATAATTTATGAAATAAGTAGAATCGACTTTACATTTTATTTGAATATTATAATTAATTATCATTATTTTTATATATAGCTCCATTGAGTATTCTAGGAAATTGGTAATCATTTTTTCTTGTTAAAATCTGAATCCCAAATTTCCATTTTCATTATTCTTAAATTACATGCCTTATTTTTTTCAGGGTCGATCAAATAAATACTCATGTGAAACCTGGCGCCTTATTATTCTATGTTTTCCATGGACCGAACCGAAATTCAGATCCGTCCTTTCTCTCCAACCATGATGTCGTGATTACGGTAATTATATACTTTTACGATAGAAATTATGTTTGTCTTATCATACAATGGGATTTTTAACGTTGTTTCACATATTTAGACCTATCAAGTTCTCGCATCATCTAATGTTAAAGATAAACGTAAAGGATTATTTGCGATAAAATGGCGTCGCGTTGTTCTTGATGAAGGTCATATTATTAGAACAAACAAGACAAAACAAAGTCAGGCTGCGTGTGCTTTAGATGCCGAACGTCGATGGGTGCTCAGCGGTACTCCAATTATGAATCAATTGAATGATATGGTGAATGCGATTTTTTTTGCTTGATTGTCACCTATACATTTATTAAATAAGATTTATTAAATAAAATTAATTTATTTTTATTTTAAAACATTACACAGTATTCGCTGGTTAAATTTTTGAAAATTACACCATTCCATGATTATGACTTGTGGACTCGAGTTTTTTCTCGTCCTGTCAGCAAAGGGGTATGGAGAATTGACAAAGTTCATTAATGCTATTTTCTAGATATTTATAACTCATATATTCTATTTATTAGGATTTCGACGGTATTGACCGTCTTTCGGTTAGATTTCACGATTTGTTCCAGCTGTTTGTTGAATTGACTTTTGCTTTATTATGCTAACGTCTTTTGCTAACATTTAGTGCTTAATCCGTACTACTTGTCTTAGACGCACTAAGGACATGAAATTCAACGGTAATTCGTGTGAAATGTGAAAATTTTGAATACAATATATCCGTTAATTATACTCAACATAATACAATCATGTTTACATTAGGTCGATCAATATTGGATCTTCCTCCGATTACCTCTTATTTGCATAAAGTCAAATTTACTTCTGAAGAAAAAAAGAAATACGATCTTATGGAGTATGTTAAGATAGATTATATAAAC